AATCAATAGGTCTTGGGTCATGGGTGGGTGGGACACGTCCAACAGGCTTCAAGCTTGGGCGAATGGGCCCTAAACCCTAAACCCTAAACCCTCATTCCGCACCGCATTGGCAGCCCCGGGCAGCCAATGCGGTGCGGGATGAGTACGACTGGGGCGAGGGCTGGGGTGAGCGCTGCCCACGTCGGCATCACGAGGCCAGCCGCAGCGGCCCCTACAGCGGCAACTGGCCAGGATGGACAGGGTGGTCCAGCTGGGAGGCCGGCGACCGCTGGAGTCGGTCTGCGCGTACCCACACACACCCCGTCCCCGATGACCTCCCTGCACCTCGGTCTGGCCCCTGGCACTCCTACGAGCGTGCACAAGGCGACCTCACGCAAGGCCCCAAATTGCGAAACACGACCGTGCCTGGGCAGGGTGGACTATCAGGCACATATCGACAATGAATGTGCGAGACGGGGTCGGTATGTTCCACCCCGAGCCCATTCTCTATAACGTTGCCCCTGAACTCTGGCCCAATTTGAAAGACCTGGAGAGGATCAAGGACCGAGGCGCATCGAGGATCGACGACGGGATAGAGCCTCGCTTCCTGGGATCGAGAGTAAAGTCGACGATCGAAAAGCATCAAACATCGAGGGCGGGACCAAGCATCGAGGATCGAACATTGCTTTGTTGGATGACTCTTCAAACCCTCTTCTCCGGGCCTGCGGGGTGCATCTCCGAGTTCCTCTCTTCGAGGGCTGGATGGGTGTGTCAGTGAGGCATCGGGGAGGCCTGCCGGGGCCTCTGGGCCCCTTCTGGGGACCTCTGTCGACCTCCTCTCCCTCTCCGGCAGCAACTTCTCCTCCTGTCAGCTTCCTCTTCTTTATCCTCTTCACAGCTTCCTCCTCCTCCTCCTCCTCCTCCTCCTACCCCCTTCCCTTCCTCCCTCATCCATCTTTCCTCCTGCTCCTCCTCCTCCTCCTCCTCCTCCTCCTGCTCCTGCTCCGAGCTCCTGCTCCTGCTCCTGCTCCTCCTCCTCCCAACTTCCTCCTCCCAACTTCCTCCTCCTCCTCCTCCTCCTCCTCATTTCTTCAATCGCTTCGCTCATTCCGCCGGCCCGTACTGTGCCATCGCAGGCGTTTGCCCGCGCATTCGTGGCCTCTTGGGGGCCGTTTGGGGTCAGCTTGGGTGGCCTCTTGGGGTCTCTTTTTGGGCCTCTTGGGCCGTCTTGGGGCCCTCTTAGGGGCCTCTCGGGCTGTCTTGGGGCGAAAACTTTAAAAAGCCAAAAACATAGCAAAGCACATAGAAAATCAATAAGTGTTGCTTCTGTTGGCCCTCTTTGGGGTCCTCTTGGAGCGCTCTTGGGGCTTCTTTGGGGCCTCGTGCTTTTGTTTTGTTTCAGAAGGTCTGTAGACAAAAAGTTGAGACAGCGCGTCAGTTAAAACAGCCCCTCCCCCCCCTCGCCCTCTCAGACCCCCCCCCGCTCCCCCCTCGCCCTCTCGCCGGGAGAGGGTGGGGCGGGGGAGGCGCCTTGAGGGGGAGAGAGGGGAGGGAGGGAAGCGGGAGGAAGGAGGCAGGGCTGCGCAAGAGGGCGGGAGCGGGCAGCGGAGTCGAGGAGGGAGGGCGAGGGGGAGGAGGATGAGGAGGAGGAAGGAGGAAGGAGGAAGGAGGAAGGACGATAAGGATAAGGACGAGAATGAGGATGAGGATGATGATGATGAGGACGAGGAGGAGGAGGAGGAGGGGGAGGATGAGGGGGAGGAGGGAGGGCGAGGGGGAGGAGGGGGAGGAGGAAGGAGGAGGAAGGAGGATGAGGGTTGATGATGTCTTCGGTGGCTTTCCGCAGCCTTCGAATGAGGAGGTTTGATGGTGACTCCGGTGGCTGTCGGCAGGTTCAAGAGGTGCGCAGGATTCATGGCAGGGTTCCGATCCGAACAGGTGTCTTGCTCTACAGGGATCTTGGCGGTGGATCCTCCGAACAGGTTTCGGAGGTGCGCAAGATCCGTGACGGTGGGAAGGTCCTACAGGGATGCTGCAGTGGGTTCTGTGCGGTCTGGAGGAGGAGGAGGAGGAGGAGGAGGAGGAGGAGGGTTGGTAGAATGAAGAGATCATTGGACAGAGGAGCAGGAGGTTAGGAGGACGAGAGCATTGCGGAGCAAGCTGTGGACATTGAAGAGACGCTCTGTTTGCTTCGCAGCGGCGGCCCGCGCTTGGATCAGGTAACAAACGTCTTGGAGCGGCCAATCTGCGCCTCCCAGCAGCGCATGAAGTGAGCCAGGCCATCCTCAGGGTGAGCTAAAGGTGGGCATACGTCGACAATGTCGAGTAGGACGACGACAAAGATGATGTTGACGACAACGATTGACGAGGACGACGACGTGAACGATATAATGAAGAGGAGGAGAAGGAGGAAGGAGACGACGACGACAACGG